CTTTTCTGTCTAGGCTGGCCTGGAACTGCTATCTCCCTCCAGGTCTCAGTCTCCTGAGTAGCTAGAATTACAGGTATGAGCCTATGGCACCTGGCTATTTTTTTTGTATTATACATGTAGTCACAGGTAAGAGACAGTATCATTTATGTCTACTACAGCATTTCCTAAGTAGCATCATATTTCTTATCCTTTAGTAACTTGCTTTTTTTTCACCAAGCATCATGATACCATGCTGATATTTGATATCCTTCATTCAACAACAACAATAGCATTCGTGATTAAAATAGCCTTATTCTTATCTTGCTGTGGGCCCTGAGCCAGAAAGTATGGAGATAAAACACAGCCCTGTCCTTAAGACGCAAGTACAGTCTGTAATGCATCCCAAGTCACTAGAGCATGTCTGTTCAGAAATAGCAATGGCATGTGAAAACGCCAGGAGAACCTACATCCAGCCAGTGTGAGCAAGTCACTTGATCGTGTGGATGCACCTACCACATGAAAGTATCACTTCACAGACTTGCTGAGAAGGTTCCTTGCATTAGGTTGCTCCCTGTGTCCCTCCAAGAGCAAGAAAACTGATCAGGGCAACCAAGAAATTTGTCCACAGATTACCACAAAATCAGTAGTTGGATCAGAAACAAACTGTGGTCCCTGATAAATTTAAACATAGGACCAGTTTTTCTAGGGAATAAACTTACACAAACGCACAGCTTTTCTAGACCAGCTGGGTGGCAAGGAAGAAAAATGCACAGGCATCAACACCTCTGATTTCTGAGCCATTTCAAATGATGCTAGTTTGAGCAGGTAAGCCAAAAGAGGTTTCCAGGGGAGAAAAGGGTGGTGGTGGTGGAAGAGTAGATTATCACTGTAAACACTTTACAACTAAAAAGGTTTTAATTTAGAGACTTGAGGAAGTCTAAATGATTAAAGAAAAATTGGCCTTAGCAATCAGACAGATCCATACACAAATCCAAATCCTGCCTTGGACATCTTGACTGTCTAACCTTAGGGTAGGCAATTAATTCTTCTAGATTTCTCATTTCTAAGTGTCTTATCAGTAAGGTTATAATATAGATATTGGTAATGTCTATATAATAGAGCATTCAACAAATGCTAACCAAGAAAGAGGAGAAGGCAAAAGGAAATAGTTACTAAACTGAAAATGTCAAATTAAATGCTTTATCCAATGGGGGCTCTTTGATAAAATATTCTGAAGAGAAGGCCTTGGGCCAAGGCTTCTCATTGATTACAAGTGACCTGAAGGCTAGGGGAATGGTTTAAAACTCTCCTATCCCTTCCATCAAGGAATAAGATCCACATTCCTTACTAGGGCTTAACACACCTACAAGACTCTGCTTCTCTCAAGCAGAAAAGCCAGTACTGTGCTTGAAGTCTTGAGCACACTGTTTATTCTGAGGGTATCTGTGTGTGCCAGTACTGAACTCTGAAGCTTTCTGCTTCAAGGCTGACACTGTACCAAGTGAGCCACACCTCTTCTGGGCTTTTTGCTAGAGATTAGCTCCAATTAATTAGGAGTCTCTCAGATTTGTCTGCCCAGGCAGTTCAAACCATGATTCTCAGATTATAGACTCTTGAGTTGCAAAGATTGCAGGCTTGAGCCACTTGTGCCCAGCTCTGAAGGCCTATGTAATGGCTGTTTCCTCCATATGGAGAGCCCAGCCTTTGTGCACTGGAATTCCATCATTCAGCCATCTCCTGGAATATCCCTTCTTTGAAGTTGCCTTGGACTTTCCATCGTCAAGGGGTGCCACAGAGAACTGAATCACCTCACGGTATTATTATTTTTTTTTTTTGGTAGGTCATGGGGGTTGAACTCACGGTCTGGGCTTTTTTTGCTCAAGGCCACGGCTCCACTTCCGGTTTTCAGGCGGTTAATTGGAGTCGCATGGCCATTTCTGCCTGAGCAGGCAACGAAACCACGGTTCTTAGATCTAAACCTCCTGAGGAGCCACGATTACAGGCGTGACCACCAGCCCCCGACTGGTATGGATCTCTTTTTGATAGATTTTAATGATCCCAGGTGTCTTTATGTACTTACTAGCTTAAGGACCAGTCCTTCCCTCCCTCCCCAAATCCCGCAGAAAGTTCACTAGGGAATGGGTATACAATAGGGATACAACAGGTGCTCAACAGACATTTAATTAAAAACAACAAACAGTTGTGGGGAAGGAGGATTCAGCTCAGGGATGATGGGAAAGAGGCCTGAGTAACTTGAGGATGGGAATCCAGAAGGCAGTTTAAAAAAAAAAACAAAACAAAAAGACAGCACGCGGAAAATAAAAAGGGGGCCGAGGAAGTTTCTCGTAGGATGCCCGGCTCCGGCGGGGGCGAAGAGCCGGGCGGGAAGGGCTGGCGGGGATGGCCGGCCACGGGGGAGGGAAGCTCCTGGAAGCCGGCTCCGGAGCGAGGCAGCGGAGGGGCCGGGGGAAGGCCGTGTGGGGGAGACCGGGGGAGAAATGGGGGGCAGGTTCGTACCTCGCGCCTGCAGCAGCTGCAGCGCGCGGCCGTAGAGCGCGGAGGCCTCGGCGTACTGGCCGTTGCGGAAGCTCTGGTTGCCGGCAGCACGGAGCTCCTCCACAGAGTGCGGGAGTTTCGGGGCCATCCCGGGGCCGGAGGGCCAACGAGGGAGCGACTCCGGACCCGGCGGACCCGGCAGAGCGGCGGGGAAAGAGAGTCCCGGAGGAAACCGCGTCCGGGCGGAAGCACTGACTGCGAGCCCTTGGGTCCCGCCCCTTCTGCGGCAGCGAGGGGGCGGGGCCTCCGCGCACCCGAGGCTCGGACGGCCCGGCCCTCCGCTCATGCTCAGTCTGCACCTCGGCGGCCCAGAAGTGGTTGCTGTGTGCTTGATGCTTGGGTGCCTAGGAGCAGCTGGGAGGGTGCAGTGGAGCGGGAGGAAGGACCTGCTTCCCAACTCTAGGAGGGGGCCCAACACGCCATTAACTTCCGGCCCAGTGAAGACCCTACTTTCATGTAAAGGAAATGAAACTTCCTGGGATGGTGGCACACGCTTGTAATTCCAGCCGTTTGGAGGCTGAGGCAGGAGGATGGAATTTGAGGCCTGCCTGAAAGGTAGTCTCAACACATCAAGCCCCCAAAGAAACACTAGTAAAGCCACGGAAACTGGCCACGTGGGGACTACTTTAGAGGGGTGACAAGGGAGGCTACTCTTGAGGGTAATAATGGGTCTGAAACCTGAGAAGATTTAGAGAACACTCCAAATAAAGAAATGGCAAGTGCAAAGGTCTTGAGGCTTTCTGGCAGCTGGTATACTGAGTTGGTAAATGACTGCACAGATAGGTTGATGGATGAGTTTGCATTAAGGGTGACTTCAGTTTATTCTCATCTGATTTCCCTTTGACCAGTTTCTTTTTAAAGTTCCAGTTTCTTTTTAAACTTCATTTTACTACTTAACACTAAATTCTTTCTCTGGCTTCTAGTTTGACTTATGTTATCCTCTTCTGGAGTTCCCTTCAGAATATTTTTCTCCTAATCCTGAATCAGTTTATAAGTTTCAAAACATCAGCTCCAAAAGCCTTTCTTGATCTTACGCCCCTCCTCAGCTATTGGTTTGCAGATTGATCCTCAGTTTTATCAGTTATCATTGGGCTTGTTAGTTTACAGGTGGAAGCAGAGGTGGGTCCTCCTTGTCTTTGTCTCTCCAGGAGTTTACCATCTGGCATGAGTGTGTCCCTCAAAAGCTGTATATAGCTCACATCTGTAATCCTAGTTACTTAGAAGGCTGAGATCTGAGGGTGTAAGTTCGAAGACAGCCCAGCCAGGGAAGTTTGTGATATTCTTTATCTCCAATTAACCTTCAAAAAGCTGGAGCTTTGGTTCAATTGATGGAGCATTAGCCTTGAATCAGAAAAGCCAAATGAGACCATGAGATCCCAAGTTTAAGACCTGGTACAGACACACAAAAAGCCTAATTTGCAAGCCTTCCTACCCCTCAAGGTGATGGCTTTTAGGAAGTGGGGACTTTTGAGAGGTAATTCAGAGGCAGAGCCCTCATGGAGGGCTAGGATCATAGATTCCATGTCCTCACGAAAGAGGCATACTAGATGTGGGGTATGCCAACCAGATGTTGAGGCTTCTAAGATGTTGGGACAGAGCAAGAAAGTGTTGTCTATGAACCAGAAAGAAGGCCCTCAGCAGAGACTGCAGGTGCCTCCATCTTGTTTCCAGCTTCTAGACCTGTGAGAATTATTCTGTGTCCCTGTTATACTTTTATGCTATTTAAACAAATAGCACAAAGAAAACCTGAGTTGAGAAAACTTAAGAAGTATAAATTGATCAATTATGATGCTAGTTACATGTCTTGTTTTTCAGCCTAATGGTTTAAGCCAACGTATGTATTGGTTGAGCCTGGTTCAATCAATGATATGTTAAGACTGGGGATTCTGATCTTAACATACCTTTACTTGCCAGTGTTTTCTCAACTAAGGAAGACATTAACACTGGACAGAGCTTTTTAAGGAGAGATGGAAAAGGTATATAGTGAGTTGGGGGTATGGCACAAAGGTAGAGAACTTGCCTAGCATGGACAATGCTCTTGGACGCAAAACCAAACCCAAACTGCAAAAAGAAAAACCAAACCAAACCTGTAGTTAACAGCTGGTATTCTGAACTAGGGCAGGGCTGGCTGCCTGTCACCCCAGTCCTGGGTGGGCTGAGGCCCGAAGGTCTCAAGTGAGAGCAAAGAAAAAGAACAGTTCTTTCTAAGTCGGAGCCTCAGTACTTCCACCCGAGACCCGAGACGCCAGAGGCGGAGACAGGGACCAGGGCTGCGGCTTCCCGACCAAGCCGGGCCTCCCTCCCGAACTTCCTGGTTCCGGCTTCGCGCACGCCGCGGCACCACGAGACTCCACCAGCTCGACGTGACGGAGACCGCGGCTCCGCCCACTTCGCGCGCTCACGCCGCTTCCGGTAGGGGCGGAAAGCGGAAGTGTGGGAGGGTCTGCGGGGCGGGGCTGGCTCCGGGAGGTCCGAAGCAGGATGGAGCTGTGAGCTGAGTTTGGTGGCTGCCGGCAGCGCCATGGAGACGGTGCAGCTGAGGAACCCGCCGCGCCGGTGAGGGGAAGGGCAGCGGGGCGGGGGAAGACTAGGGAGGAACTGGATGAGGTGTGTGTGGGGGACACTTGTGTGGGCGCCCCCCGGGAGGGAAGGGACCCGCGAGGCGAGGCGAGGCGACCTGGCTGGCGGGGCACCTGCTGGTCAAAGGGGCCGTCCGGCGGCCAGGGGGCGGGCTGCGGGAGCCCCGGCGGCCAGGGGAGAACGCGGGGGGACTCCGCTCAGGAACGAGTGGACCAGTTAGGGAGAGCGCCTGCCGGGGCCCCTGGAGGAAGGCTGTCCCCAGAAGAGACGCACGAAGGCGGTGGCGTGTGCGGAGTCCGGAGGAGGACCTGGGCGGGTCGGTCTCTGGGGATGGACGAGAACTCGCAGAGGGCAAGACTTTCCTAAAGTAGTCTTCAAGTCCCACCTCAGGGTGCAGCGGGGGCGGGGGGGGGGGAGAGATCTGTTGCACTCATAGCTTTGCGTTGGAGGCTGAAGTCGTGCGAGGACTGGTGGGGAGTCCGGACCAGCCGCGAGGTTTGGTGAGGACGGCGTTAGGAGGATGTACTTGGTGGTACTCAAGGGTGACGGTAACGTCTTCCATCCTGATTTTCTTTACAGCCCCAGCCCCCCCACCCCCCTTTCAGATACCCACATTGTGAGGTATATAAAGAAATAAGATACTTTCAGGATGAGCCAGGAGGTCCAGAAGATTCTAGAGATAAATGGACCCCGCCAAGCCACTCCATGCCTCTGTCGTTGTGCGACTACCAGTTACTCCATGCCCCCTTTCAAGCTTCTGTTGATCTGTGGCTATCAGCTTCGGATCCTAGTGGTACCTGGAATAGCTTTAGGTCAAGTGCAAGAAGGCTGATCCTAACATGTCTGAACTCCTGATTGGTTGCACTTGCACTGAGTTCTCCTGTGGGCATCAAGGGTCTGAGGAGAAAAGCAGGGAATAAGACTGAAGGTTCCGCCCTCTGGGAGGTGCAGCACAGTTAACTTCTATCTCACAGAGAAGACATTTGGCTTCCTGTTGCAGAATGCTCACTCTGAAGTAGGAAGTGTTGAGAGTGCCCAAGTGCTGGGAGAGGTGAAGGGAGGGGATTCACAGCCCAGACAGCACTCCTAGGGGGATTGTTTGAAGTGCACAGACACTGCACGAACATTGTTGGACTGGGCTCTTCCTTTTTTTGGGGGGGGGGTCTGGTGGTGGGGCCTGAACTCTGGGCCTGGGCGCTGTCTCTCAGCTCTTCAGCTCAAGGCTAGTGCTCTACCACTTGAGCCACAGCGCCACTTCTGGCTTTTTTCTTTTTGCTTATGTGGTGCTGAGGAATCGGACCCAGGGCCTCATGCATGCAAGGCAAGCACTCTACCACTGAGCCACCTTCCCAGCCCCTGGGCTCTTCTTAATCCACTGAAATAGTAATGATTCTTATACTTACAGGCTGCCAGGCACTGTTGTAAGTGCTTGCCATGTTTCCTGTTGAGTTATGTGAATTTGCTGCAATTTGATCATTATTTAGCTGTAAAAATGGTAGTTCCATATAGTTCAACTTATTGATTGGACTCATTGGACCTTCACACACAGCTGTTGAATGAACTGGACGTCCCCTTATCTGTATTATCTGTATTTTACAGATAATAAAACAAGTATAGAGGTTAGAGATTTCCTGAGGTCCAGAGTTGGGATTTTAATGTCCAAGCTATTTGATCTAAAGTCCATTTCTCTGTCTCTTTGTCTCTGTCTGTCTCTCTGTCACTCTCTCTGTCCCTCTGTATCTCTCTCTCTCTCTCACTTTCTCATTTGCCTCCATCCTCTCTCTTTCTGAAATAAGGATGTGAGAGCTGTCCCAGAGCTTTTTTTTTTCTTCAAGGCTAGTGTTCTACCACTTGAGCCCACAGCTCCATTTCTAGCTTTTTGGTGGTTAATTTGGAACTTTCATTGCCTTCTTCCTACGTATTCGTATGGTCTTCTCCTTATACCTGTGTTCACACTTCTTCCTCTTATAAGGATACAGACCCATACTGGACTAAGCCCTGGTCATATGACCTCTGCCTGTGTTACTCAATTGTTCGGTCTCTGAACATGGTCAAATTCTGAAGGAGTTAGGATTTCAACATGGTGGGTGGCACAGTTAATTTAAAATTAAATTAAAACATTTAATTATACATACATATTTGTTGTAACCTATCTGTGATTCTATTTGAAATGAAAGATAAGTATCTTAAATAAAATGAGCCTTTTTATAGTTTTGACATGGGAGATAAAGGTTTTAGAATTATCCAGACTTTTGAATGACCTCTGACAGGTGTCTGACAGCTTCAGATGGTATGCATTTCCAATGAAGGAAATGCTCTGTATGTTTGTGAGGGTGGCATTTATGTGACTAAGTGAATGATGATAGATGGGTATCTTAATGGGGTCATGGTTTTAAAAAGTTACTTGCAGCTGGGAACCAGTGGCTTATACCTGTAATCCTAGCTACTCAGGAGGCTGAGATCTGAGGATCACAGTTCAAAGCCAGCCTGGGCAGGAAAGTCCTTGAGACTCTTATCTCCAATAAACCACACAGAAAACTGGAAGTGGGGCTGTGGCTCAAGTGGTAGAGTGTTAGCCTTGAGCTGAAGAGCTGAGGGACAGCGTTCAGGCCTAGAGTTCAAGCCTCATGACCTACAAAAGAAAAAAAAGTGACTTGTCATTAGGTAGTGGTATGGTAGGAGGCATGGAGGGCATTCCTGGGGTTTCGGCTCTTCAGATGTTTCTGGCAGGAGAAGGACATCTACCAATATTCAGTGCATGTAATCTGTTCATTGTGAGCAAGTGCTGAAACTCAGACCTGGGAAGTCCCAGGTGAAAGAGTCACCAAAGTCATGCCGTAGTGGTTATTGTACTTGTTCCATGAAGACTCATGGTATAAAATACCAGTACAAGTCACTTTTCAATAGATTTTTCCATAGCAATTTTGACTTGTTGATAACCTCATAATACATTTTATTTATTATTTATTTATTGCCAATCCTGGGGCTTGAACTCAGGGCCTGGGTACTGTCCCTGGCTTTTTGTGCTCAAGGTTAGTGCTTGGAGCTGTGGCTCCATTTCTGGCTTCTTGGTGATTAGTTTGAGGTAAGAGTTGTCTGCCCAGGCTGGCTTCAAACCATGATCTTCAGAGCTCAACCTCCTGAGTAGCTAGGATTACAGATATGAGCCACCAGCACCTGGCCCATAATACTTTTTAGGTGAATTTCTGTTTCATTTTGGCAGCTTGCACAGTTAGGATTCCCATAACATTTGTTGATACATTTAACAGATAATATTATTATTATTTGACCACCCCTTTGTTATCAGGCACAGAGATAATTTGTTTTAAGTTGCTCTTGTTCAAAAACAAAGAAAACACTTAGATTGTTTGAAAGAAGCATGTAAGCAGTTATATAAAGTTTGTCACAGTATTATCAGAGCCTTGCAACTGTCTCCAATGGCAGTGGCAGTTTCCTTTGTTTTATTTTGTGGTCTCTGTGGCAGCTGAAATAGTGAGTTTTGCTTTCTGTAAACTACAAGAAACAACACTTCAAAGAAACACATTTGATCTTTATGTAGACTGTTTATAAAACTTCAATTTTACTTGATTAATGGGGCTTTTGTTTATATAACTCAGAGCTTTACCAAAATACCCTGGCATTTGAGCTGTTCATTGTAATTCCTGAGTTCATAGAAATTTCAGTCTGAAGTTTTAGAGGAGTTTCACTTCAGTTCTTTGATGTTTTTGAAACAGGGAATTTTTATGCTGTCATTGGAATTTAATTTTTAGGATTTTTGTTTTTTTCAAAGGTCAACGTGGTTACTGTGTTCTGTTGATCTTCAATTAAGGCATTGACCTTTTTTGTTTTCCATTTCTTTAGTATGTAGTTCTTGACTATAAAATCTTTTAGGGGCCCGGGAAAAAAATCTAAGATTTTTTTTTTGAGTTCAGGCTTCATTGGTATTTATACTTGATGTGGTCAGGATTTTTTTTTGTCTTTTGATCTTGCTATTTAGGAGGGTGTAGTGTTTTGTGTGTGTGTGTGTTTGTGTGTATGTGTATGTGTATAAATTCAGTTATAAGAATTGGTATTGTCTTGTTAGCTTAAACCTTTTTCTTTACAAGAAATCTACAGAATGACTACTTCCATATTTCACCATTTCCTGAGCTCTTTTTGTCCTTTGCCATTTCAGGAAGCCATTGTGTTGACTGAACACACATAAAGACCTACTTGCATGCATGCGCATTCACACACACACACACACACACACACACACACATTGTGTTGACTGAACACACATAAAGACCTACTTGCATGCATGCGCATTCACACACACACACACATACACACACTCTCTCTCTCTCTCTCTCTCTCTCTCTCCCCAGAAGATTTTTTAAGTTTGTTGGCAATTCTCAGAGGTTTCAGAATTTTAAAAATGTTGTTAATTTATAACCTCATGGTTGCTATCACTGTTTAACATTGTCAGTAAAATAAGAATTGTCTAGAGGCTCTGACCAGCCATGTACCTCTGGTTTGGAGACTAGTCAAACGTACGTAGCAGTTCTTGAGAGCATCTTAGAAACTGTTTAAACTCCCAGTTGCCAAATTATTTCTTACTTTGCTCATGCCTAAATATTCACTTTCCATTCTCTGTTTCTGTTATCCTGTAGATTTTAGATGTTCTGACAGTTTCCAAAATCTTGCTAATATAGAGCAAGGATCCTGTGACTTCCAGCCACCAGTGCAGTTCATGTTTCAGTACATTGTTGACCTTATTTTCCTGAAGAGCTAGCTGTCCTTTCAGTTCATGAATTCTCCAGAGTTAAATGATTCTAAAGGTTTTATCTGCTGATTGAACCTACTCTCCAGCATTTCATCCATATAACATTTCTTCCATTTTCTGTTTAAATTTTCCAACCATGAGAAATTTAGGACTACATATGATAGTCTAAACATTGTAGGGTAACTTCTGTTGTCAGAGAATGTCTGTATGTTGAATCTAAAGTCAAAATCCTGGCAGCTCTTCTTCTGATTGTGATTTTGCTCCTCAGGTGACCCAGAACAAGTTTAATCATCCCACAGGACAATCCTTCACTGTCTTCAACTAGGCTTTTAGAGTCAGGTACTGGTGGCTCGTGTCTGTAATTCTAGCTTCTCAGGAGACTGAGATCTGAGGATCCCAGTTGGAAGCCAGCCCAGGCAGACTAATCTGAGAGATTCTTACTTATGAGTAAGAGATTTAGTCAAGCCCTAGTACCCGTGTGTGTGTGTGTGTGTGTGTGTGTGTGTGTGTACACACACACACACACACACACACACGACTCTTAAAGTTAGGTATGGGGGTATATCCTCTTCAGAGGCTGAGGCAGAAGGACCAGCCCTTGCTACATAGTAAGACTTAGGGAAAAATGAGAGCTTGCTTTTGTTGTTTACCAGTGAAAACAGTAAAGCAATTCTTAGGATGCTGGTTAGTTGTAAAATAAGTGATGTATTTTATGTTTTAGTTGCTAGGAAGTAAAATGGTATTTTGTGTTGTATTTCTTCATTGACAGGCAGCTGAAAAAGTTGGACGAAGATAGTTTAACCAAACAACCAGAAGAAGTGTTTGATGTTTTAGAGAAACTTGGAGAAGGGTAAGTCTGGAGAAAATAAAGGTAGCTCAGAGGGTCTTTTTCCTGCCCCTACTACTTGAAGGATGTGAATTTTCTATTGGTGTCAGTTCTGAAGCTTGAGTAAAAGAAAGAGTAATATTCATATAAACCCGGCTGTAGGTGGAGTAGGAGGTAAATTTGTTGCTTTAAATCCTTTGACTACTTAGCCTTCATCACTATTCTAAACAAATTTAGTGTGACTCTGAGGCATTAACACCAAGGGCACCTATTGTTTCCTCTCCCATTGAATCTATGGTATGTATGATTTTATGTGGTTATCAGATAATACTAATTAGGTTATAATTAATTGCATTTTTAGTAATCAAACATAGGTACTTTATTTGCTGCTCATAGCTTCTGATTGATATGTAGTCACTGTGGTCTCATTAAAAAGCAATGTAATTAAACATTTTAGTTATTGAAGTTTTATAGAATGTAATAAATAAGTCAAAGACTTGCTATCCTTTTCAGGTTCCTAGGAGATCCAGAACTTTCTGTTGGGAATCCAGTTTGGGTCTCTTAAAGTACAGACTTGGAAAGAGTGAATGAAATAGGGCACAAATGATATTTACTGGCAGATGTGCTATCATTGACTTCCACAGTAGGGATTATATTAATAATTCCTCACATATCTTTTCTTTACATATCTTCTGCATTTCATTGTGTATATTGATTCCTTCTTTTGTAACATTAAATTATTAGGAATATCTTAAGTTTTTGTTGTTAACTTTTGAATAGTAGTAAATCCACATTTCAGAGGTAGTTGATGTGCACGTATTAAGGATGTACTCATATATATATGAGTTTTTCATCCCTCAAGAGTACTTTTTAGAGCCGGGTGCTGGCGGCTCATGCCTGTAAGCGGAGCTACTCAGGAGGCTGAAATTTGAGGATCAGGGTTTCAAGCCCGCCTGGACAGGAAAGTCTGTGAGACTCTTACCTCCAATTAACCAATAAAAAAACTGGGAATAATGCTGTGGCTCAAGTGGTAGAGTGCTAGCCTTGAGCAAAAGAGCTCAGGGACAGTACCCAGGACCCAGGTTCAAGTCCCACTGTGCTAAAAACAAACAGACAAACAAAAAACAACAACAAAGAAGAGTACTTTATATTCAAGAGAACATACTTTTTTTAATACTAAATACCATGATTGTATTTGGTTGCCCTTCCTCCACCCTCCCTTTCTGCACCCCCATCTTTGCCATCCCAAAAATTAAAAAACAAACCCTAAAGCTAAAACAGTACCACCAGCAGCAATAACAAGAACTACAAAAAACCCATCCATGTTTCCATTTCCTGGAATTCATTTTGATAAATGGTATTTTAAGTGATCAGAGGAGTTATATCTTTAGAGTCCTCCCATAAGGGTATCCTCCTTTAGTATGTTTGTGGATGAATGCTTAAGAGTCCGGTATAGATTATCAAGTCCAGTTTTATTTTAGATCTAACTTTCACATCAAGAGAAAAAATGCACCACATGTCTGTCTGAGCTTGGCTTACTTCACTTAGCATGATTTGTTTCCTGAAAATGACATAATCTTATTCTTTCTAATGAATTAGCAAAATTCTGTTGTGTATATATTTAATTGATCTACTCATCTGTTATAGGGCATCTGGGCTGTTTCTATAACTTGGTTATTGTGAATAATGGAGCAGTGAACATGGATGTGCTAGTGTCTTTATGGTATCCTGACTTGTAATGATCTGGGTAGATGCCCGGGAGTGGTATGGCTTGGTCATAGAGAAGTTCTATGTTTAGTTTTTTGTTTTTTTTGTTTTTGGTCTGGTCTTGGGGCCTAAACTCTGGGCCTGGACGCTGTCCCTCAGCTCTTCAGCTCAAGGCTAGTGCTCTACCACTTGAGCCACAGCGCCACTTTTGTTTTTTTTCTTTTTTGCTTATGTGGTGCTGAGGAATCAAACCCAGGGCCTCATGCATGCAAGGCAAGTGCTCTACCACTGAGCCACCTTCCCAGTCCCATGTTTAGTTTTTTGAAGAACCTCCAAACAGCCTTCCTGAGTGGTTGTATAACCACTAGTTTACATTCCCACCAACAGGAGAACATACTAACTTTAAAAATGACTAATGTTTATAATGAGTTTGTGTTCTTTAAAATCAGTTTATAGATGATTAGATTAGATTGTCTTGGGGGCTAGTGTAATTTCTGCCTGCATTCTGCAGTAATGTCAAGTTCTATCTTAGATTCATGGATTATTACTTCCTTGTGAAAAAAAAATTAATCTTCAGTTTTCTGTAAATTGGGAAAATCTTGTGTGAAGTCCAGTGAGAAATCAAGCAGAGAATGGGAGAGAATACCAGCTATATTGCCACAAGACAAGTCCAAGATGCTGAAGACTGCCAGTTGGTTGTCATTGTTAAAGGTATGGGGTGGTGTCGGTCACTGCCTCTTGCTACATTCAGCTTTAGCTTGGCATCCTTGCTATTTTCCTCAACACACTGTGTCCATGGCCTTAATCCAATAATGCTCATAGGTTAATACTTACAATAAGAAAACTAGTAAACATAATTGTTTATGTTTATTATAAACATTTATGTTTAGTGTAATTAAATTATTTTTTCCTTTTTTTTTTTCTTCCTGGTTGGTTATGGGGCTTGAACTCAGGGTCTAGGTTCTGTCCTTGAGCTCTTCTGCTCAAGGCTAATGCTCTACCACTTTGAGCCACAGCACCATTTCTGATTTTCTGATGGTTAATTGGAGCTAAAAGTCTCACAGACTTTCTTGCCTGGGCTGGTTTTGAACCACGATCCTCAGATCTCAGCTAGGATTATAAGCATGAGCCACCAGTGTCCAGCTATTTTTTTTTTTTTTTTTTTGGCCAGTCCTGGTGCTTGAACTCTGGGCCTGGGCACTGTCCCTGAGCGTCTTGAGCTCAAAGCTAACACTCTCCCACTTGACAGCACTACTTCTAGCTTTTTCTGTTTATGTGGTACTTCATGCATGTTAGGCAAATACTCAACCACTAAGCCACATTCCCAGTCCTATTTTTTCCCTTTTTTTTGGGGGGGGGGTTGGTCATGGGGCTTGAACTCTGGGCCTGGGTGCTGTCCCTCAGCTCTTCAGCTTAAGGTGAGTGCTCTACCACTTGAATCACAGCGCCACTTGAACCACAGTGCCACTTCTGGTTTTCTGGGGATTTATTGGAGATAGGAGTCTCATAGACTTTCCTGCCTGGGCTGGCTTTGAACCGTGATCCTCAGATCTCAGCTTCTTATGTAGCTAGGATTACAGGCCTGAGCCACCAGTGCCCAACTTTTTTCCATTTTTTAATGACATTATGTTACTATAGTAAGATCATAGACTCTGAAACACTTAGACCTGGTTTGAAAGCCTTCTCCACATTTATTAGTCATCTAAACAAGTAAGCTTGAGCTTAGTATTTTGTGACCTCATAACCTTCTATAAAATGAAGGTAGTAGTAATCTCTACTTCATAGGGTCATGGCGAGTAGATGAAATAATAAAGTACTAAGTACAGTGTTTTTCACATGGTAAGTGCTCAGTTAGTTGTTAGGATATTTTATTATTTGTTTACTTGTCAGCTTTAGGGTGTTAATTGAGGGCCTAGTGTTTGCTTAGCTTGCTTGCCCAATGGTACTTTGTTATTTGAGCCGCACCTCCAGCCAGGCTTTTTGTGGGTTACTTTAGATATAAGACTTTCCTGGACTTGATTGCACAGGCTGGCTTTAAGCCATAATTTGAACCATGATCCTTCAGATCTCAGCATCCTGGGCAGCTTGGATTATATGCATGAGCCACCAACACCTACCTCCCTCCATCCGTCCCTCTCTTCCCCCTTTCTCTCTCTCCCTCCCTCCCTCCCTTCCTTCCTTCCTTCCTTCCTTCCTTCCTCCCTCCTTCCCTCCCTCCCTCCCTCTCTCCCTCTCTCCCTCTCTCTCCCTCTCTCACGCTCTCTCCCTCCCTCCCTCTTCTTCCCTCTCTCTTCTCTCTCCCTCCCTCCCTCCCTCTCTCTCTCTCTTTCTCTCTTTCTTTCTTTCTTTCTTTCTTTCTTTCTTTCTTTCTTTCTTTCTTTCTTTCTTTCTTTCTTTCTTTCTTTCTTTCTTTCTTTCTTTCTTTCT